TGTTGATGTTTGACTAGAATAAGTTGAGATGATATGAACTACATATTTGTGACTTAAAAATGTGATGTAACTCTTCTTATCTTGCTTGAACGTCCAACGAATTCTACAAAGAGAGAGGAGCGGCGATGAAAACTCCAATCACCGACTCTTCTTCTTTTCTTTTCTTTTCTTTTCTTTTCTTATTCCAGTCTTTTTTGGCCCCTGTCATGAAAAAAGTTTCATTTAACATGTATTTTCATTTATATATTTACGTTTATTTTTTAACATTGTCTAAAGATGTTATTTTTGTGGTGGAGTGTCATTTGCCAGATGTATATTCCCCTTCATCATCGATATGGTGTTCTTGTATATTAGTAAGAGGTTTGTATTAGTTTCTTCATCGATTTGGTATTTGTACTTCTTCTGCACCAATATTGAGGCTAAGTGTCCTTTCCTGAACCACTGTTGATCTAGAAAGATGGGATTGCATGGATATTTTTCGAGTGACTGATGTATCCAGACCAATTTCTACACTTAGCTCCTTACTTTTGTCTGGCGAAATTGCGAAGTTTTACAGTTCCTTTTCGGTGGCTTGTCAAACTGAACCCATTTCGAATAGCATGTGCAGTCACACTACGCTATGAGTTTACTTGGGTGTAGGTTTAGCTAACATGAGCACCTTATTTTTAAGATGTTGTTGTGAGATTATTTAGGAAAAGGTACTCCAATAGGAGTCCTGGACTGAATATATATAATAAAAGAGTTTGAGATATACAAGGAAACAAATATGTCTAATAATATTCTATTACACACCCTCAAACTGTGCGGGAGATACAACACGCATGTTGTTCTTCAAAAAATGAAATTGCTGACTAGAAAGACTTTTAGTAAAAATATCAGCTAATTGCAGCTGGGTAGGGATGTACTTCACTACCAGGTCTCCATGAGCCACATGTTCTCGGACAAAATGATAATCAATCTGGATGTGCTTGCTACGAGCATGCTGGACAGGATTGGCAGTCAAATATGATGCAGATATGTTATCAAATAATAGCTGAACTCGAACAGTCACCGGAAATCCAAGCTCAAAAAGAACTGAACGAATATGCAATGTATCCTGGACAGTATAAGCAACAGCTCTATACGCGGCTTTGGTGGAGGACTTAGACACAGTAGCTTGCTTTTTGGACTTCCACGAGACAAGATTGGGGCCCAAGAAAACTGCAAAGCCAGTTGTAGATCGGGATGTATCTCGACAGTCTGCCCAATCTGCATCTGAATAAGCAATCACAGAGGTAGCCTGAGTGGTCGGCTGAAGCCATAATCTATGATCAAGTGTTCCCTGCAAGTATCTAAAAATGCGCTTGACCGCAAACAGATGAGTAGTACGAGAGGCATGCATAAATGGAGACACTAAATGCACAGCATAGGTAATAGCAGGTCGTGTCAAAGTTAAATATTGTAATGCACCAACCATACTTCTATACTCAGTGGCATCTGCAAGAAGTTCCCCATCAGTAAGGGATAGAGAAGTACGAGTAGCAAGCGGAGTGCGAACAGACTTAACGGTGTGGAGATGGAAATGAGAGAGAAGATCAGATACATATTTATGTTGAGAAAGAAACAAACCTTTAGAGGAACGTACAGTCTGGACTCCCCAAAAATAGTGAAGATCTCCAAGATCTTTCATAGCAAAATGTTTAGCAACAAGCTGAATGAAGGAGATAATAGCAACGAAAGAATTTCCAGTAATAATTATGTCATCAACATATAACAATAAATAAATGACATTATTATTCTGGCGGTAAATGAATAAAGAATTATCAGACTTGTTGCACGTAAAATGATGAGACAATAGGAACCTACTAAAACGATGAAACCATGCACGTGGAGCTTGCTTAAGACCATAAATGGCTTTGCACAATTTGCACAAATGATGAGGAAACAAAGGATGAACAAATCCACGTGGCTGACGCATATAAACTTCCTCGGTGAGATGACCATGCAAAAAGGCATTCTTGACATCCAATTGACGAATGAGCCACCCAAAAGAGACAGCTAGTGTAAGGACTATACGAACAATGATGAGTTTAATAACTGGACTAAAAATTTCAGAAAAGTCCACACCTGCCTGTTGATTAAAACCATGAGCAACCAGACGCGCTTTGTGGCGCTCAATTGAACCATCTGATTTATATTTTGTCTTATAAATCCACTTAGAGCCCACAACATTTTTAGTGTGATCAAAAGGCACTAAATCCCACGTATTATTAGAAATAAGAGCATTAAATTCCTCAGCCATTGCCGCCCGCCAAATTAAATGTTTATTAGACTCAGAAAAACATGTAGGATCAGCTGATAAAACAACATTGTTTAAATTAAAAATTTGTTTGGGATTGAAAAATCCCGATTTTGCCCTAATCTACATGGGATGAATATTGAGGACCGGGGCAGGACTAACATATGGCTTAGGTATGACTGCCGTGGTTGGGGTAGATGAAGGCTCAGGTGAGGCAGGCAATATGGGTGGCGTAGATGGTGTAGTGGAAGGAGAGGGTGAAGGGTCATGTATGGTTATAGGGGAAGGCAGTGAGGTCGGTGATGGGCAGTGTTCGGATGGGGAAGGGGAAGGGGGTGGTAGGCTGGTATTGCCGAGCACGGCCGAGACAGGGGGCTGGGAAATTGCAGTGGGAGGAGGGATAGAGTAGGGCGGGTAGGGAAGGGACAATGTGTTCGAGGTGGTGTGGGTGAGAGTGAAATCGGTGGCCGGAGGAATGGAGGAAGAGGCATTCGTAGAAGAAGACAATGCGGCATAGGGAAAAATATTTTCATGAAAGCGAACATGTCTACTGATAAAAACTTTAGCAGATTTAGGCTCAAAACAACGATAACCTTTAAAACCAGACGCATAGCCAAGAAAAACACATTGTATGGAGCGCGGAGAAAGTTTATTGGAGGGAGAGGCGGAAAAATTGGGGTAACAAGCACACCCAAAAACTCTTAAAAACTATAGTCAGGAGGTTTTTGAAAAAGAATATCGTAAGGAGAAACACCATTAAGTGACGGAGTAAGAAGTCTATTAATAATATATGCAGCTGTAAAAATAGCATCAACCCAAAATGTGCTAGGGATAGAGGCTGTAATAAGCATAGTTCTAGCAAATTCTAAAAGGTGAGGAGTATGTGGGCAAGATTTTTGAAAATAAATGCCATGTTCATAAAAAAAATGTTGCATATTAGAATTAACAAATTCACCCCCTCCATCACTTTGAAAAATTTTAATTTTAGAGTGAAACATATTTTCAACTAAAGCTTTAAATTAACGAAATTGAGGAAAAACTTCACTTTTAGTGCGCAAGGGATATATCCAAGTAAACCGAGAAAAATCATCAATAAAACACACATAATATTTAAAACCTAAATTAGACAATACATGTGATTGCCAAACATTAGAATGAATTAATTGTAATGGTGCAGAAGAAGTATGGCTAGCATCCGAAAAAGGTAATCGTTGAGATTTACCCAAACGACAAGAAACACAATCATGTTCAAAATTAGAAGAACTAGAAATAAGTTTTCTACGATGTAACAAGCGCAAAATAGTTTCACCACAATGTCCTAATCTACGGTGCCACACAGGGCCAGAATTAGTGATAGAAGCTAAAGCTAAAGATGCAGTCGGATTGAAGCTGATAGGGTAAAGATGGCCATTATGACGTGCCTGAAGAAGAACCGCCCCCAAAGTTTTGTCCTTTACAAAAAAATAGTTTTTATCAAAAACAACAACACAGTTGTTATCAGCACATAATTTTTGAATGGAAATTAAATTTAATTTAATTCGAGGCACATGAAAAACAGATTTTAATGTCAACGAGCGACTGAGAGTATTTAAAGTAATATTTCCAACATTAACAATAGGAAGCTTAGTACCATTTGCAACACTAACAGTCATGGAGCCAGAATAAGAGGATTTATTGAACAGAATACCTTCAGATGATGTCATGTGAGCAGAGGCACTAGAGTCCGGATACCACAAAGCATCGTTTGATTCCCCAGTTGGAGCAACCAAAGCAGGTGCAGAAGCTTGTGAAAAACGAGACGGACAATGCATCGCAGAGTGACCTGCAGAAAAACAAATTTGATACACAACTGGAGGAGGGACTGAACCAAGAATACCCTCAGCTGATGGGAAACCTGCATAATGATAGTGAGTACCAGAAGTAGATTTAGCATTAATATTTAAAATGGACTTGATAGATTTACCCGACGGAGCATTGTTTGGTCTCGGATGATACACACCCCATGAGGTGGATGGTGCTGGTGCGGCTGTTGCCCCTGGTGCGGGATAGGGGTGTTGCCCGACCCCTGGAGCTGGCTGGTAGGCATGCTGTTGCGGGTGACGGCCCCTGCCGCAGCCCCCTCTGCCGAGTCCGCCTCTGACGTGGCCTTCTCTGCCGCGGTATGCGTGTGGTTGGCCAGGTGGGCCCTGCTGTCCGGGACCAGCTTGCACCCCAAAATCTTGCTGCAAATTAGAGGATTCCTGATGGCGCTGATGAAGGACGCGTTGTTCCGCTTCAAGTAGTCTATTGTGAAGAATGTCAGGTGGAAATTCATCCGGGAATAGGGATACAGTACCCACAACGGACTCATACTTAGAGCCCAATCCATACAAGGTACTTTGCAGTAATTCTTTATTAGTGACAGGGGAATTTATTGCATTTAAGGCATCAGCTAAATTCTCAATATCAAGCAAGTATTGTTCCATAGACTAAGTGTCCTTCTTTTTAATGGAATTCAAGGTACGCTTAAGTTTCATGGCTCTAGGTAAACTAGCAGACATAAAACGTGTTTGCAAATGATTCCATATACCAGCCGAATGTTTAATATCATGCACATCAGTTAATACATTTCGAGTAAGAGTAGCAAACAACCAAGAGCGAATTGTTTGATCTACCTTAAGCCAATGATAATAGTCTGTATTAATGATTTTTTGATTATTTAAATTCACTGTGTACATGGGAGGTATCTGAATGGATCCATCAACAATGCCAAAAAGTCCCTGAGACACCAAAAGAATTCGAATTGAGTATGCCAGGTGAGGTAATCTTAATCAGCTTTGAGCTTTATGGTGACAATTTGGCTGACATTGGCGATGCCATGAAAAATAGACTGAGCCAATAAGGCCATAGGAGACCCACTGAAAATATTTTCGTGGGATGGCCGTGTAATACCTGGGGAGCCAGCAAATGAAGGCCCAAAAAATTGAGGGGAAGGCGGCTGGACTGGCTGAGAGAGTGTCGGAGAGTTTGCCATTGGCCAAGGAAGGTGCGACGGGATGCTGTTGAAGAGAGGATATGGATGTGGCGGCGCCCAGACTGAGGAGGAGAATTCTAGCGCGGAGAGTGAGTATGGCGGATGCGTCGTCGCAGAAGGAACGGCGCCAGAAAACTGCCGGGTCGACACCACTGCAGGGGAGGGTGTCGAAGAAGAGATAATCAATGCAGTGGCGGACGACGACTGGGACTCGAAGGGTGGATCCGCCGAAGACGAAACCGCTGGGACAGAAGAAGCGGCGGCGGATGTGGAGGCCATCGTCGACTGCTACGCGGAAGGGATGATCGAGCAAAGAGAGAGAAAAAATAGGGTTTTCTCTAGACTCTTGATACCATGTGAGATTATTTGGGAAAAGGTACTCCAATGAGAGTCTTGGGCTGAATATATATAATAAAAGAGTTTGAGACATACAAGGAAACAAATATGCTAATAATATTCTATTAGTTGTACATTGTCCCACCCTAGTATGACAATGAACTTTATGATTGTAATGATTTGCTTTTTAATTGTTATGTTTCTTGTTGGTCTAATGAATAATAATTAAATTATTTTCTTTCGACATTAATTTTGAGACAATACAAAAAGAAAATATGACAAATAAAATGAGACAAACAAACATATATAGAGAAATTAGGTTAACCTCGTGAAAAGTTAAGGTAAACTATATTCAGGAATAACTGTAGTACTCCCTCCGATCCTGATTAATCTTTACACTTTGACTTTACTTATATTAAGGAAATAAATTTGACTTTACTATATAATACACTGTTTGACACTGTTTGATACTGTTTGACACAATTTAGCACTGTTTGGTGCAGATTTGTTTGCCAAACAAGACAAATAAAGAAGTGTAAAGTTTAATATGGGACGACCCGAAAAAGAAAATGTAAAATTAATTAAGGAATATTTTTTTTTTAATTGTAAGCGTAGCCTCTTAAGAATCGTGAATATAAGTACTCCCGAAAGGCCGAAAGTATTAAAAGCACTTTTTAATGGTCAAAGAACTTTTTATTGGTGTCTTGCAAAATGGTTTCTCAATGAATGGGTGAATCATGAATTTTAATGATTTCCAAGTAATGGATGACGATTCACGCATAGCCCATTCATTTAACTCGCATTAATTTAAACATTAATTATGAATGGATTTGAACAACTAATGGAACCAAATCAATCATAAATTACATTTAGGTCTATATACACCTTGTAGGGCCACCATGGCGTGGGATGCGTGAGGGGATCACGTGATGTATGACCCACCGGACGACTCCAAGACGGATCAGCACAAGCCATATGACGGGTTCTTTTATACTACTTCGTTTCTAATATTGAGATTTGAGATAGAAGGGAGTAATATGGTTAAGAAAGTGGAATTGCGTGGTTGATAGAATGTGAATAATCTAAGAATAAATTTTGTTTTTATCGCGACTTAATTACCTTAAGTACATTTCTAATTAAGCTTCAAGTGAAATGAAGTTATGAAACGCTCAAACGCTCAAATTAAGACTATGTTTGGCAGACATAAGTCTCTGACTTCCAGCTTTTGTACTATTTAAAAAGTTTTTTAAAGCTTCTGGTTGTATGTTTGGCATGCTAATTTTTCAGAGCTTTTATAAAAATAAAAGATCTTTTTTGAGATGTTACAGTGAGTAGCATCTCAAATAAGTCGGTAGCTTCTAGCATTAATTAGTCCTAACAGCTTGTATATCAAACAGAGCTAAATCAAACAGTTAACTTTTTATCAAACAACTACTGTCTTTTTCTTTCAAGATCTTTTCAGTCATTAAAAGTTACGAGTAACAGTTACTAAAAAGTTAATAAAAGTATTTTTTTTCAGCTAGTTCTGTCAAACATACCATAAGTCGGAGGCTAAATCCCTTCTAATTTATGTCAGTGATCGGAAACCTCCTTTACGGAAAAGATTTTAATTGTTAAATATGATCTACTTAGAGCCCGTTTGGTAGTACCAAAATCGGTTGATTTGGCTGATCTGCTGAAATTTATGAAATTCTGGCTGAAGTGGCTGTATTGGCTGATTCAGCTGATTTAAGAAAAAAATATTTTTAAAATATACTCCCTCCGTCCCTTAAAACTTTGTCATCTTTCCTTTTTGGGACGTCCCAAAAAACTTTGTCACTTTCCCTTTTAATCAATTACTTGTAGTTTCTGTTATTTCTCTCTCCTCTGTACAAACCTCAATCACACATTTTTGACTTTATTATTCTCCGTGCCAGTCAAGTTTGGCAAAGTTTTAAGGGACGGAGGTAGTATTTTATTAATAAAATAAAGAAAAAATTATATGTAAAAATAGTTAAAATAATCATCTATATTAACATCAGCCAATACAGCCAGAAAAGTAACTCCAACCTTACTTTTTCTGCTTATTACACAATTCAGCACGCGAAAGCAAAAGTTACGTGTTTGGTGAAAAAGTTGACTAATAAGTCTGATAAGCCGAAAAACAGTGCTGCCAAACGGCCTCTTAGACTACTCTCATATGTCGGTTTCTTTGTTTGTGCCTTATTGAGGGTATTCATAAGGGTAAAGTTCAAATTAAAAGATTGTTTCTGATGCAAAATGCACACGATTGCACAATTATTCTATTCGTAATGTATCTTGACGTTCAAAGTGATTGCACAGATGCACTCTACCCGTCTGTAACATGTATGTCCCTTCAGGGACATCTGATAAAATTGGAACGAATGTACGCAGTCTAATGATGATCCCACTTACGGTGAGGTAAAGGGAATCGAATGCACACGATTGCACAATTAGTCTTTAAATGTTAGATCCCGACCCTCCTTTTGTTTGAACAAATCATTTTATAAGCTCTGATCTTCAAAATTACGTACTTCTGTCTCGTTTTTTTAGTTTGTCTAACATCAAATAGTTTGTATATTTTAAATTATTTTATATGTTTCCTAAGGAATATCAATTGTATAATTGACGGGGGTACCAATTTCTTCTCAAATTTATTGCATTATCCATTTATCCTCTCATCTTTACAAACTTAATTTATAAATATATTATATTCTGGAAACTTTTAATATTAGCTACCCCATTTTATTCAATAAATATTACTGCATTCATCTCATTTCAAATTTCTTGACCCACTTAGAGATCGTAGAATCAATTGTATACTACCAGGACAATATTATATACTACCTCCGTTCCTATTTTATCTTCCAACCCACTTTGGCACACAATTGAAGAAAAATGGGTATTGTGTGGTGGAAAGTTGTGCAGAGGAGAGAGAAATGTGTAAGAAATGTTGTGAACCACAAATTCTTTACCAAAAAAAGAAAGTGGAAATTTAATTGGAACGGATGAAAAAGGAAAGTTGGAAGTTTATTTAGGAACGGAGGGAGTATTTGAATTAATTAATAAAACTTACATCTATAGAAATTATACGAAATTCCATTTAACGTCAAAACTTGAATTCATACATGATAAAAATCTATTATATATGATTTGAGATTTAAATAAAAAGTAAATTATATTAACTTTAAAGAGGGATTTTCAAAATATTCTTTAAATATGACTAAAGTCATTATAGTATAGTGTAATGGTCACTTAAGTGCAAAGTTGAACAAGTTAGTATCATTAAGTTTACTACTATAGTTAATACACTTAAAAACTCACATTTTTATTTACAACTTTTATTTTAATCATATACTTCATATATGCAATTCTTTCCAGTGGAAAATAAATGAATGATGACACTATCTTAACTAAGTGTTTAACGTTTTAGGACGGAATCCTTCGTAATGTATTACAATTGTATATAGAGATTCTTTTTAAATCTAAATAAAATTTATTTAGGTCACTGAAGTGATTATAAATATAATGTAAATATATGGTCACTTAAGTGTAAATATTGAACATAAGTTACAATGATTAAACATCAAGTATCTAACCAAATAAGACTGGCGAAACCCTACGCATAGAGAAATCAGATCTTCAAAGCCGCTGCGATGAACCCTAGCGCAACAAGCAAAGGGGCCGGTGGATCCTAACCAAGGTGGCCGACATTACCGTTGTAGTAGGACTGCATTTCGCAGGCATAGCAGCGGGATTAGTTCGCGGGCTACCCTCAATTCATGAAGCAATTCCAATTGAAGAATGACATGGTTCGAATCTATTGACGATAGGTAGTAATCTGAGTCTGGTTTTCTTCCCGGTATATACAACAATTTTGTTCCCCTCGCTTGTAGGGTGTTTCTATCCCAGATAGCTTTGGCAAGTCGAGTGTGGTGATTGCTCTGATGGGCTGTGCGAGTAGGAACTGCCACGGGTTAGGGAATCTAGGCATGGTCCAAGTGATGGAGGTCAGTATGGAGGTTGATGGAAACGGACCAAAAATGACTGCGCGGTGCTATTGGATCAACATCGCCTGGAATTCCATTAGTTCTTGTGAGTGAGATTCTTCCTTTGGAGGTGGTTGGACAAACCTCTTCTCCCTTCCTGATGGCAGGTACAATCAGAATGACGTCTTTTGAGGTGGTTGATCGAAACTCTTCTCCCTTGCCGGTGGCCGGAAAAACCATGAGATTTGATTCTATTTGTTATCATCGTTTTAATAACTCTAGTTTTAAGTCTATTTATTTTAGTAGCAAGTACAACGATATAGTTAGAGTAGCCTACCATGATGCGGGATTAGCGATATTGACGGGTTCTCAGGAACTGGTCAGTTCTATTTTTCACCGAGGATAGCTCTAAACTATTGATTTGTTTTGTCTCTTGTCACGTCCCATTATTATTAAAAAATAAGTATTCTTCTTTTAAAAAAATTACTACGATTAGAATTACAATTTTGAACACTATACTAATAAGATTACAATTATATACACTAAATAATTTCAAGATATTTTGACTCTTATTTAGAAAAAAAGTTAATATAATAGTCAGTACTCACTATTCACGAACAAGAACATTAATATTGTCACTGTCCATTTCATACCCTTTCTTATCAAATTTTAAAGAATTGAGTTCTTTAGGAAACCGGTTAAGATATTATCTCACACCCTCCACTAATTTTAAATAACAAACCAATATGCTGAATCATTATTCCTCCAATTAAGTTACGTAATTAATTAAAATGGGACACAAATAGACGTGAAGTGTCACTTTGGCCTGCCACCACTCACAACCCATCATCTCATCACATAACCACCAACTGAATTACGAATATTATTATCTTTCTTTTTCTGTTTGGTTAAAGCTAAAATCTCATTCAGATTTGCACTATCATTGCGCATATTTAATACGAGTATTCGTTCTTTTTCAGTGTGCTCCTTCACTAGTTTTCTTCCTCTTCAATTTCCTAATTAGAATAATACCAAACTCAACCTAATATGACACGTGTTGTAATGGAATTTGTCAAA